ACTGTAAACCTACTTTTGCCCCATCCTGTATTCTAGAAATTAAAGATCTCATTGTGGAAGTACAACTCTAAAGCAAACAGAAGAAAGTGTAGACTATTATTATGATTTTGAGATAGGGTAGGGCTTTTACAGTAACACTAGAGGTCTGGTGCTCAAAATTTGTGTGGGGGGAGGCCCCTCAGCTTGGCCTGTGCCCTCTTGTAGTCCGGGAGCCCTTGAGGGATGTCCGACTGAAGGCTTAGGCACCCTCCCCACGGGGAGTGGGTCTAAGCCCACAGTCGGACATCCTTAGCGCTGCCGCGGAGGTGGGAGAGGGTCCTGCCACCGCTGCTGTGCTCACCAGCTGTGAGCCCGGCTCAGGGCTTCTGGCTGAGTGGTGCTCCCCCTGTGGGAGCACACTGACCACCAGGAGGCAGGCACCCAGGATTTCCTCTGGCCCCAGCTTCATCCAGAATGATGTCCGGTCTAATTAGCGTATTATGCTTTCATTATTATAAACAATGAATCTAGAAATTAATGGATTTGACTACATTAAACTAATATATCCTTGTTCAAGAAAGGAAAATTTATAGATGGATGATGGATTGGGAAAAATTACTTGTAACATCTTAAGTGGGTGAGATAGATATTTAGAACATGGGTTGTTCTGTAACCAGTCAATTAGTAAATATTTTAGGTTTGTGGGTCATATGGTCTCTGTTGCAACTGCTCAATTCTGGTGTTAGAGCATAAAAGCAGCCACAGACAATACATACATGAATGAAAGCGACTGTGTTCCAATAAAACCTTATTTACAAAAATAGGTGGTGAGCAGGATTTGGCCTGCAGGCTGTTGTTTGTTAACTCCCAATAGAGGATATACAACAAATTCCCACGGATCAATAAGAAAAATTTAAAACACTCATTGGAAAACCAGGCAAAGGATATCAACAAGCAATTGGAAGAATAAAAAATCCAATGGCAAAACAAGTTTATGGATGTGCAACTTGAATAATAGTCCAGGAAATGCAAATTAAAAAGAAATTCCATTTTGCATTCAACAGATTTGTCAGAACATGGAAGTCAGATAACTTAGGTGGAGTTAAGGGTGTGGGGAAACATGAAACCCTCATGCCTTGCCAAGGAGTGTTATTTACGGAGGGCCATTCTAGAGAGCAATCTGGAAGTGCTAAGTGAAATTAAGTCTTTCTGTACTGCAAACAGAGGATAGCTCTTTGATAAAAGGCACCAGGCAACTTTATAACAACACACATACTTTTTTAAAAAAATACATTTTTATTGATTTCAGAGAGGAAGGGAGAGGGAGAGAGATAGAAACATCAATGATGAGAGAGGATCACGGATCGGCTGCCTCCTGCATGCCCCCTCACTGGGGATCGAGCCCATAACCCAGGCATATGCCCTTGACCGGAATCGAACCCACGACCCTTCAGTCCACGGGCTGATGTTCTATCCACTAAGCCAAGCTGGCTAGGGCACAACACACATACTTTAAAAAAATTCTGTAATTATAGACAATCTACATAAGCTTTATTTTTCTCATTTTAATAATAAACAAAAACACTATCATAGACTGCCATTAGTCTACAGACCATATGTTATAGACTCTACCAATGTAGTTTAGACATGTAGAAAATCTATATATATAAAAGCCTAAGCGACCGTTATGACCGAATGACCAGTAGACCAGTCACTATGATGCACACTGACCACAGGGGGCAGATGTTCAACACAAGAGCTGCCCCCTGGTGGTCAGTGCACTCCCACAGCCAACCTCCTGTGGCCCCTTCCCCTGGCCAGCCAGCCCCCACAATAGGCCTCAATAGCTGGCCAGGCCGAGGGACCCCACCTGTGCACGAATTTGTGCACCAGGCCTCTAGTCTTAATATAATTAACGTCTAATTCTTTTATCATTTAGTTTTCTATCTTTAAGAGGAGATCTGGCTTTACAAAGCCTGATTAATGGCATGCAAAATTCACATGAATTAAAAAAAAAGATCCTTAACTGGTTTGGCTCAGTGGATAGAGCGTTGGCCTGCAGACTGAAAGGTCCCAGGTTTGAGCCTGCAGACTGAAGGGTCCCAGGTTCGATTCCAGTCAAGGGCATGTACCTTGATTGCAGGCACATCCCCTGTAGGAGGTGTGCAGGAGGCTGCTGATCAATGTTTCTCTCTCATCGATGTTTCTGACTCTCTATCACCCTCCCTTGCTCTCTGTAAAAAATCAATAAAGTATATTTAAAAAAAAAATGAGACCTACCTGGCCAGTGTGGTTCAGTGGTTGAGTGTCAACCTACGAACCAGGAGGTCACGGTTCAATTCCCAGTCAGGGCACATGCCTGGGTTGTAGGCTCGATCCCCAGACGGGGTCATGCAGGAAGCAGCCAATCAATTATTCTCTCTCATCGTTGATGTTTCTATCTCTCCCTCTCCCTTCCTCTCTGAAATCAATGAAATATTTTTAAAAATAATAAAATAAAGTGAGACTTCAATTTTGTAGGATGGAGAGCCAATTGCAGGATACTTCTCTTAGTCCCTTGTGGGTTTTCCCTCCTCTACAGTTTCAGGAACACTTCAGTAGGAAAATTTGAGAAACAGTTAATAAGCAGGGACAATTATTGAATACCCATCAATCTTTAGCTACATAAAACTAAGGTATAAGGATGTTTTCATCTCTCTTTAATGGGAAATTAAATTATACACACAATATAACCTGCTTGCTAATTAGAAACTGCAACTTCCTTTAGCCATTTTTTTCTACCTCCACCCTGAGTATAATCTATTGTAGCATTAGCTTCTGAAATACAGGCTTTCCTTTCATTGAATTAGTTTGCCATGGTCTGATAAAATATACCATGGATTATTCAAATTAGTATGGCCTAAACAGGAAGAGTAGCTTGCAAATGCACTGATTAAAAGGCTTATTGTCTCAAAGTATATCACATACTTCACCTTAAAAATAAATTTGTTGCCCGGCTGGCATGGCTCAGCAGTTGAGTGTCGACCTATGAACCAGGAGGTCACAGTTCGATTCCCAGTCAGGGCACATGCCCGGGTTGCGGGCTCGATCCCGAGTAGGGAGCATGCAGGAGGCAGCCAATCAATGATTCTCTCTTATCATTGATGTTGCTATCTCTCCCTTTCCCTTCCTCTCTGAAATCAATAAAAATATATTAAAAAACAACTCCAGATTAAAAAAAAAAAGAAATTTGTTATTCCACTCTATGCTAGTGCTTAAAATTACTTCAAAGTTGAGATAGCTGTGACATAACAGAAACATTTTTCTTTCCAGTCTTATCACGTGTTCATTTAAAGGTTCAATTAGCCCTAACTTGTTTGGCTCAGTGGATAGAACATCGGCCTGCGGACTGAAGGGTCCCAGGTTCGATTCCGGTCAAGGGCATGTACCTTGGTTGCGGGCCCATCCCCAGTAGGGGGTATGCAGGAGGCAGCTAATTGATGTTTCTCTCTCATGATGTTTCTAACTCTCTATCTCTCTCCCTTCCTCTCTGTAAAAAAATCAATAAAACAAATTAAAAAAAAATAAAGGTTCAATTATACTAAAGCATAGTCATTAAAAGAAAAATAGTTTACATTGAATTGCAAACTTTAAACAGGTGAACATTATGGTATTTAATTTTATCTCAATAAAGCTGCTAATAAAAAAGGTGGCTTAGATAACCAGTCACCTAGTCATGTTGCTCAAATACAATAAATTAAACAAAAAATGTAAAAAAACAACTAAGATCAGCCCTGGCCAGTGTGGTACAATGGGATCAGAGGCAAGGAGGAGGAGGAGAATAAGGCTAACCAATCAGGAATTGGGTTAAATTTTCAGCCTATTTTATCTGGCCCTTAATAACCTAGAAAGAGAATGTGTGCATGCATGGGTGTATGTGTGTGTACATATGGGAGTATGGGAGAGGGGTAGGCTCTGCAGGCAAGGGAGGAAGCACGAGGACACAAGGTCAAGAAGAACCAAATGTCATAGTTGAAGTACTTTCCTTTCATGAATTTCCTAAAAATATAGACTAATTTAAAGAAGACTTCTATCAGACACTAATAAAAGGAAACATGATAATAGTCCTCTTTCTTCATCCATAAACAGGCCATTTCCAAAACAGTAGTGAGAGCACAGAAATCTTATTTTAAAGACTTCTTTCCAGCCGAAACCGGTTTGGCTCAGTGGATAGAGCGTCGGCCTGCGGACTGAAAGGTCCCAGGTTCGATTCCGGTCAAGGGCATGTACCTGGGTTGCGGGCACATCCCCAGTAGGAGATGTGCAGGAGGCAGCTGATCGATGTTTCTCTCTCATCCATGTTTCTAACTCTCTATCTCTCTCCCTTCCTCTCTGTAAAAAAATCAATAAAATATATTAAAAAAAAAAGACTTCTTTCCATGCCTGCAAGGAATTTCACATATAGATCACTTGAGTAAAAACTGAAGGCTGCTTTTAGAATCAAGCCCTGGCTAGTGTTTCCCAGTGATTAGGGTGTCAGCTTATGCACCGAAGGGTCTTGGGTTCAATTCCCGGTCAAGGGTGCATACCTGGGTTGCAGGTTCAATCCCAGCTCAGTCGGGGGACGTGCAAGGAGGCAAACAATCAATGTGGCTCTCTCATCGATGTTTTTCCCTCCTTCCCTTCTACTCTCTCTAAAAAAAACAGTGGAAAAAATATTCTCAGGTGAGGATTAACAAATAAAATAAATTTAAAAAAAGAAAAAAGAATTTGAAAACAACTAGTGTGGTGCATTTGGTTGGAAAGTCATCCCATACACGAAAAGGTGGTAGGTTTGATTCCCAGTCAGGGCACTTACCTAGGTTATAAGTTCAATCCCTGGTTGGGGTACATGCAGGAGGCAACCGATCAATGTTTCTCTCTCCCCCTTCCTCTCTCTAAAAATAAAAAACAACAACACAACAGCTGAGATCGTACTGTATGTAAAAGAAACAATTTTGATAGAAAAGAATACAAATATTTTTAAAAAGACAACACACAGATGATGATAAAATATAGACTGCTGGTACACATTTATTCTTTTATTGCTAAACATCAAATGCCAGCAACTATGGTATCTTCAAGTTAAATCCTATGAATGAATTACAACACAGTCAAAAGATTTAGAGAAGAAAATCTCTGTGCACCATTAGTATATGGACATTCAATAAATACCATAGGACAAACTGATGACTGAGAGCTACATATCCATGAAGTACAAGTTTACAATTTACTATTAGAACAGACAATGACCTACAAGAGTGATTACCAAAAGGTCAAGTTTAACTGCATGTCTTTTCAAACTGAGATGCTGAAAGAAATATATACATTCTTTACAGATCGTAGGTGATTTTTTTAAATCCTCAAAAATGTAAACAATGCAGAGTAGGAACACTGAAAATAAAATTTCACTGAACAAAATGACAACACAAAAAGAACACTTTCTTCAAAGCCTCAAAATAATTCAATTTTTCTAATTGCTCTACAGAAATCAAAATGGATTATTTTCATAGAGATGATAATCTTCCAGGGACACACAGACCTTCCGAGTTATTTTTTATGTTAACATATATTTACAGTAAATAGTCAATAGTTTTTATAGCTTACTTAAATAGATACATGCTTCCCTAATCCATAAATAACACTAATTATCACCCATTCAACCATATTTATTAAGTATTTATGATGTCTCATGCACTGTGTCAGGGATGCAAGAGGAGTATGACATGGTCCTTGCTCTAGAAGTGCCCACAATCAAGCTGAAGAGACAACACGTAACATTTCTTTCCTTTCTTACAGGATGAGGCCATTGTATACAAATAGGACTGATCTGCGCAATATCCTAATAGAGTGGTTCCCAAATCCTGACCCTATGGAGCAACAGACCAAGGTGTTTAAAAGCTACAAGAAAATAATGTGGTTGGAGATTTTTTTCACCCAGAAAACAAAATTAATGGGAAGGATTTTTTCTATTAAAATTTTTCCTCAGTTTTTAAAAAGCTGACCTGCGCATATATATTTTCATTAGTAAATCGCTTAGCTCACGTATTTGAATTAATTATGCAAGTATTTCATGGTATTCCCCAAGTTCTACCTGAACAGGTCTGAACATTACTCTGCTAATACACTTTCATCCTGAATGATTGCGTAACAAACAGAACAAATGCGTTTTTCCTAGGATAGACTAATAATTTGTATGGTTTTAGTAGTGCTAATAACTGATAACCTGGAGTCATTACTTAAATGTTAAAATCATACTCAATATATAATTCGTTTAAGAAGGCAGGCAAATGTGTAATACAATCTAAAGAGTGTGTTAAAAATGATTAAAAACTTTTAGTACCTGAACAGCAACTCATTAATCTGAAAAAGGTGAACCCCATGGAATACCTCACTTACTGAAGAAGTTAGATACATGTCTGTTAGTGTTCCTGAGTGTATGAGGAAAGGACATATTTGTCATCAAAGTACAGCATGCTCATACACTTCTGAACTAGGCGGGGCTTTTTCGGCACAAGAGTAGGTTCCCAGGCTCTGGCAAATCCACGTTGGTACTCATGTGAAGCCATTCTCACTGTGCTACCAAGTGTTCTGTGGACCCAGTGAGGTAGCTCGGGGGAAAGATGGAAGGCCAGGACTAGATCTTTTATTGCCCAACACAGAGAAACGTGGGAGCTGCTGGTGAGGACAGAGCATAGCTCAGAGCTTAAGGCAGTTGCTTCTCGAAGACAGGAACCTGGGAGTTAGGACTCAAATAGCCCCAGCAGCGTAAGAAAAAAGGTCTACCCTGGAAGGGTTCCAAGCTGTGAAGCTCTGCAGGTAATCAGGACCGCAGAGGTCCTGTGGTGTGGCTTGTGATCTGTCGAAAGACCCAGCTTAGTTCTGAGGTTCAACCCTAACTGCTCCAGCTCGTGCTGCAAGTGGGAGACACTTCCTGCAGCTGATTCTAAATGTCAAGGCCAAGTGCTGCTGTGAGGGAATGGGGATACATTAGCAAAGAGGTAACTTGTGGGGCAAAACCTGTTTCAAGGTATTATAGGCCCTACTTCTTACTTTGTCCAATTATTTGGCATCATTTGACAAAGATTTTCCCTTTTGGGTCAGTAGATTCTTTTACAAAACTTTATTAATTGTAATCAGACCTCAGTTATCAGAAGATAAAACAATACGCCATTAAATTTTAAAATACTTTTCAAACAAGACAAAGGACAAGTGGTATAGGCCGAGAAAATGCTCCCCCTTCCACTTGGCCAAAGTCTAGTCTCCTTCAAATATGGATTAATGATGGTTTTTCAAGAAGTTTCCCCCAACTAATTTTACCAAATTCTGTTCTCCTTTTAAACTACTGAGACAATACAAAGTCACACAAAACAGTTTAACAAGAATCTGCGCTTGTTGAGAAATTGTTCCACAAGCATCTGCAGATTGTAAGTTCAGTCTTTGAAACTAGGATGTAGTCAAGGACTATTCCTTGCGTTTCTTCTGTTTATCCCCATCCTAGCATTTGGATACTCTGGCTATAGGAGGAGCTTAAAAGTTGTTGGCTAAAATGTAATTTAAGGGAACACTTTATATTTCATACCAAGTACTGGTTTTCAGTATTGTATATTGTAACTCACAGATTCTGTCAGATGAGTGCCAACATTACCGTGCTGTAACCATCCAGAGCCCCAGAGTCACGTTGGCAGCCAAAAGTATACTGCCACCCAGCAAGATGAAAAATCCTATCAGATCTTTCACATCATTGTCTCCAATCACTGAGGTAAGAGTAGCATCCAGGAATGAGTTTAAAATCCACTGTCCATCCAAAGCAAAGCAGGGCACTGCATTAACAATAGCCAGAGCTCCTGAGAGAGAAATCAGGTACCTGGTTAAAATCAGTTAAGGAGCCGATTGTGAGGTCTGAGTGGAAATCCCATTTCCAGGATTCAGGAGAAGATACTTTACTAGGACTGGATTCGAGATGACAGGTGACTTCCCTCCTTTCTCTGAATCTGTGCCTACGAGTACAGGCCATTCCTTCTTGGGTCTCTACTATTTAAAACAAATAACATATTATTTCTAAGTTCAAAAACCTTGACTAGAAAACTAAAGGCCAACCATTTGTAAACTAAGATACTCTATAACAGCCGTGGGCAAACTACGGCCCGGCCCGTTTGAAATGAATAAAACTAAAAAAAAAAAAGACCGTACCCTTTTATGTAATGATGTTTACTTTGAATTTATATTAGTTCACACAAACACTCCATCCATGCTTTTGTTCCGGCCCTCTGGTCCAGTTTAAGAACCCATTGTGGCCCTCGAGTCAAAAAGTTTGCCCACCCCTGCTCTATAATGAACTCTAGGAAAGACTAAGTCTTTTTAACTCTATAATGATACAACAAGGAAAGGAATTTGGAAGAAATAAGAAATAAAATTATTTTTTGATCCGTATAAGTATTACCTTCCATTAGGAAACAAAGGTTTTGGCCCCTTGAACGCTATTTTACCATCATCTATAAGGTTAGAGCACAAATATAACTATAATGTAAATATAACTCTACAATGAGGCCTTGACTTACGAGTTTTTCGAGATACGAGCCGTCTCTTGGCCGATTTTTTGCTTTGAGTTGTGAGCTAAAATTCGGGTTACGAGCCAGCTTCAGATACCCCACCGCTAGTTGGTGCAGCGAATGTCACAGTGAACGCCACATCAGCCCAGCATCACGTGTCTCACTCGTTCACTTTATGATTTGACATATGAGTAATTTGAGTTATGAGCTCCGTCACGGAACGAATTAAACTCGTAAGTCAAGGCCCCACTGTATTTTACTATCATCTATACGTGTATAGTGCAAATCCCTGAGATAAATCTACAAGATACAATCTTGCCCTAACTGGTTTGGCTCAGTGGATAGAGCCTCGGTCTGCGGACTGAAGGGTCCCAGGTTTGATTCCGGTCAAAGGCATGTACCTTGGTTGCGGGCACAACCCCAGTAAGGGTGTGCAGGAGGCAGCTGATCGATGTTTCTCTCTCATCGATGTTTCTAACTCTCTATCCCTTTCCCTTCCTCTCTGTAAAAAATAAAAAAAAGATACAATCTTGATTGTACACATTTTTTAGTAACTGCTCATTTGTTTTCCATTTCATTATTTCCCAAATCACTGAGGAAAGGCATTTAAAAAATTTGAAAGTGGCAAAAGGAAACCCTCCAAACTGTTCAGTTTATTCAAATTCTACATAATAATATTTTTTTTAAAAAAAGTTCACCTTGCCCTAACTGGTTTGGCTCAGTGAATAGAGCGTCGGCCTGCAGACAGAAAGGTCCCAGGTTCGATTCCGGTCAAGGGCATGTAACTTGGTTGCGGGCACATCCCCAGTAGGAGGTGTGCAGGAGGCAGCTGATCGATGTTTCTCTCTCATCGATGTTTCTAACTCTATCCCTCTCCCTTCCTCTCTGTAAAAAATCAATAAAATATATATTAAAAAAAAGTTCACCTTGTATATGCAAACACAATATGCTAAAGAACACAAGAGATTTTTGTCCTCTGAATTCTATTTTAGTAGTGGAAACAATCTGCTCTCCCTTGTGTAGAGCTAACAGGCCCAGAAAAGGCAGAATTCATCACCTCACTAGTAACTACAGTTTTCATCCTTTATAATTCAACTCTCAATTTGTATTCTGGGTTCCTTTCCTTTCGTGTCCTTAAACTTCTTCTTTCCCTTTCAATCTCTCTCCTCCCTCTGACTTCTTCCCTCCTAAGTTGATGTTTTTCAACGTAAAGTCTCTTTTTTAGTTGTTAGTAATTAATTGATATCTGTAAGGTTTATGAATGTTCTATTTAAGGTAAGAATGATCAAGTTCCACATAACACATTTTTAAAACATTTTCACTCCAGAAAGGATACTTGACAAATGTCTCCACAACCACAGGCAGATCTATGCTTAGAAAGTTAAAACGTGGGATAAAACTGGTGATGCTCACTAAAAGAAAAAGAAAAGGAATAATGCATATTATTCATATAGATAAACAACAGCATAAATTTTACCATATAATAAAAAAATTGGGCTAGCCTATTAAATTGGTTGAGAAAGCCTTTTCCAAACATATGAGACAGGCTTTGTACCACATATGAAAACAATCAATTATTCTAAGAGCATCTAATAAAAATACTGGAATACAGAAAATCATTCCCCAATACCCACTTATATTTTGAGGTGAGAATAAGATAAAGTTAACTATATACCAAATATGAATACCAAACACAGACTGATTTAATACATACAGAATTTACATCAAGAGTCCTTACCCTTTCAAAGAGGTATAACCTTAAAGTTATATTTACTACAACTAGCCTTACTTAACCTTTTTGGTCTCGGTTTTTTCTTCATTGCTGAAAGAAGGATTAAGACTAGAGAATTTTTAAGGTCTCTTCCACTATGTGGATTCCAGAATCCTGTTTTTGTTCAAAATATCTAAAAACTTTCTTGTAATTAAGTAGAACCTACAGTATACACTTCTGTATTACCCTAAAAGGGGACCTTTTTTTTCATTTGTCGAGGATGTATTTAATATTTGTAATCTAGAGTCATTTAGTATAAAACTCAAAAATAAGAATGATTCAGGTTATACCTCAGGATATGATTATGATGCAATGAGAGCCTTTTAAAGAGTAACATAAGCCCTAACCGGTTTGGCTCAGTGGATAGAGCGTCGGCCTGTGGACTCAAGGGTCCCAGGTTCGATTCCGGCCAAGGGCATGTACCTTGGTTGCAGGCACATCCCCAGTGGGGAGTGTGCAGGAGGCAGCTGGTCAATGTTTCTCTCTCATCGATGTTTCTAACTCTCTATCCCTCTCCCTTTCTCTCTGTGAAAAATCAATAAAATATAAAAAAAAAAAAAAAAAAGAGTAACATAAAATCCACATACCCATCAAATGATTAATGAATAAAGAAAATGTGCTATGCCCATACAATGGAATATTATTTGGCCATAAAAATGATGTACTGGAATAGGCTAGAACATAGATGAACCTTGAAAACATTATGCTAAGTGAAAGAAGCTGGTCACAAAATATTCCATTTATGTGAAACTCGAAGAACAGGCAAATTTATAGACACAGAAATTAGATTAGTCGTTGCCAAAGGCTGGGGGATATTGGGGAAAAATGAGGAGTGATTGCTTAATGGGAATAGGGTTCCTTTTTGAGGTGAAAATATTCTGGAACTAGATTTTTGGTGATGGTTGCACAATTCTGAATATATTAAAAACTACTAAATTGTATACTTTAAAAGCATGAATTGGCCTGGCCAGCATGGCTTAGTGGTTGAGCCTCCATCTATGAACCAGGAGGTCATGGTTCAATTTCTGGTCAGGGCACATGCCTGGGCTGCGGGCTCAACCCCCACAGTGTAGGAGGCAGCTGATCAATGTTTCTCTCTCTCTCTCTCTCTCTCTCTCTCTCTCTCTCTCTGAGCTGATCGATTCTCTCTCATCACTGATGTTTCTCTCTCTCTCCCTTCCTCTCTAAAGTCAATAATAAAACAAATATTTTAAAAGCATGAATTGTATGGTATGTAAATATTTCAGCAAGTTATTTAAAAAAGGAATACTAAAAAGCTTAGACAACAAAATGAGTTAGACTATAGGATCTTCAGCCACATGGAGAAGCTCTATACTGTTCAAATAATTATGCTGTCCAGTTTTGAAATTATGTTCACATAAGATTCACGTGTCATGCACAAATTACTTTATTGTCATACCTCTATGATCCCTGGCATTCTCTGGGGTATGCTGCTCTTGTCACTACTTTTGGGAGCTTGGATAAAATTTAATAAACTTTCACATAATATCTAAGAGACCAGCTCTATGACTTGGGCATAAGTGGAAGAGAAGGAAAAATGTATTACTTTCCAAAGGCAGACATGGGATTCAGCTCCATCTTGCTTTTATAAATTCAGACTATTTTCCTACTGCCTAAATTTTATTTAATACTTAAGAATAAGTTAGCAACACCTGAAACTAATATAAAGTTGCATGTCAACTGTAACTGATAATTTTTAAAATTAAAAATAAGAACAAGTTAACAAGACTTTGAAAAGTGAGCAAATTAATGACAAAAACTAATGCAATATGGCATCTTAATGATTTTCTGAGGATCTACCACCATAATACTCACCTGTGTAGTGCAGGTGCAGAGGATGTCCCACGTACAACATATCGATTTGAGGTGGGTGTTTCACTTTTATTAAGCGGGTGTGAGTTTCCAAAGAAGGGATTATGCAGAAACTTGAACTTGAGCCTCTTTTACAGTCTTTATTGGTTCTACAAACTTGGGTGGCTTCAACTGCTTTCCGCGCAGGTAGACATGTATGCTAGGAATAAAATATTAATTAGCCAATACTAAAAATGATTTATTAAAAAAAATCACCATGTTACAAGTCCTTCAATATCTTTAATGTCCTAGCATATTAGAAAAGAATTTCATGTAAAAAATGCCATTTATGTGCACCTACTATAAGTCAGATTCAAGTATTTTACTTTGTACAAATATGATATTACCACTATAAATTTTTAAAGATTCTCAGATGAAATGTGACACATGAAATGCAGAGATTTTAATAAAATGATACAAAGTAAAAGGGAGAGAAGTTTTCATAGATTCCATTTTAGCTCTATCTGCTTATTATATAATAATTATATCAGACCAGCAAGACAGCTTCAGAGACAACTTACCAAACGCTTATTAAAATTATTTCTGTAGGAAAAGCACACATCTGTGAGGCTTTGGTTGTTACAGCATTCGATTGAACCATCTAGCCGTTTGTATGCTGAAGAGAAATAGTTTATTAGAATCTGTTATATATAGAATTACATTTGTCATAAAAATTTTGCTTTCAAGACAACAACAGTAAGATGCATATGAATTCAGAAACAACTGGATAATTCAGAGCTCAGCTTGATGGCTACTCACTGCAGGGTTTGGTTTTACATTACAAAAGATATATATTCAATCTGGAATCAAGAAGCAGCACTTACCCTAGGTTAGCTGTCTTCATATAAACTGACCCATTTGTAAAGCTGGAACCCCAGTCTCAGTGGGCTTTATAATAACTCCGGCTGGTCAAGTACAAACATTTAATGAGCCACTGTTAGCTGCCCTAACGCTACTGATCCAATCACTACTGGTCCCCTGCACGGTTGTGTTAGCAAACAAAGTGGGCCAAAGGATGCCCACGAGACTCTCATCCCTAAGGAAATCTCTATTATATCACATACCTATCTCACCTCCAGGCTTACCTTGGGGCTTTCCTTCCGGAACCAGGGCAGCCCAATTTGACCCCACAGATGTGTACACATTTGCCTGCACACCAATAATCCAGTTACCATTTTTGAACGGTAACAGAAACTGTTTATTCCCACTATTCACTTATTGTTTTGAAGTTCTTTGGTAGACTGCTTCACTGGTATCCGGGGCAGAATAAGGAAGCTAAATCACTGACGCAGGTGGTATAAAAAGTATTTTCCATGTATTTATTTTGGAAGGTTCTCAGCATTCAACACATCAAACTTGTAAAGCATAAATTGATATATGGGGAGGACCAATTAAATTTAGAATCTTATATTCATACAGCCATATACTCAAATGGGCTGAAGACATTCAAGAACAAAGTTACTATAGTACTGCAAAAAAAGTACGCTTTCCAGTACAAATAAAAAAAAAGGTTTTCTATTACAAGAGTGTCTTCAGGAACACTGGCATGAAAATGTTAGTTGATATGCAATGTGATTTTATAAGGACACTGTATTTCAGCCAAAGGTTTTTGTTTGTTTTTAAATAGTTTTTTTAAACTAGATTATTTAAGAATGACATCTTGTACTGGCTACACTGGATCTTCCCTAACCACTGCTGATCTCTCTTCTTCTTGGTCAACACAAAGTAAAGAACAAAACAGGTGAAGCAAACTAATTAATGCATCTACTTCTCCTCTGCAATGGTTGGCTACATGGGCAGTTTTGTTTTCTCTCTCTCTCTCTTTTTTTTAAATATATTTCATTAATTTTTCACAGAGAGGAAGGGAGAGAGATAGAGAGCTAGAAACATCGATGAGAGAGAAACATCGATCAGCCACCTCCTGCACACCTCCCACCGGGGATGTGCCCGCAACCAAGGTACATGCCCTTAACCGGAATCGAACCTGGGACCCTTCAGTCCGCAGGTCGATGCTCTATCCACTGAGCCAAACCGGCTTCGGCGGCAGTTTTGTTTTCTTATCATAACTGAATAGATATTGAAATCTGGGGTGACAAATCATATTTAAAATATGAAAGCAGCCAAAACCGGTTTGGCTCAGTGGATAGAGCGTCGGCCTGCGGACTGAAAGGTCCCAGGTTCGGTTCCGGTCAAGGGCATGTACCTGGGTTGCGGGCACATCCCCAGTGGGAGATGTGCAGGAGGCGGCTGATCGATGTTTCTCTCTCATCGATGTTTCTGACTCTCTATCTCTCTCCCTTCCTCTCTGTAAAAAATCAATAAAATATATTTTTTTAAAAAAAATAAATAAATAAAATATGAAAGCAAACTGTGAATATGTGACGGCACTGACAAACCTGTGCCTACAATCACTCATCAGCACAATGATAAAGTATAAGGCAAAAAGTTATTAGAATTAAAAAAGAAATCAACACAAGCTGAAACCCTCAGTGTTCATTTTGGTCAGTTGCCAGGTCCCACCAATATTTACCCCCTAATCATTTTTCTATCACCATCTGTTCCCACTTGAGTGTAGACTCCAATTCCTTCTCACCTCACCCATCTGAACAAAGTCCTAATGAGTCTTATTTGCTTATCATTTAGCTCGCATGTGCAAACCTGTCCTACATACCGAATGTTTCAAATTAACCTGCTAAGGTAGAACTACAAGAATGTGACTCTTCTAACGTAACATTTCCAAACACTCTGCACTGCTCCCAAATAAAGTCTAAATTTCATAGCCTAAAACTTAGACTTTCATTTTTTATCATCTTATCTCATACTATTCTCTTGCTGAACCAAATTCCTAACAGGTCCTTGATCACCTTCTAGTCTTATGGTGCCATGGTTCATTTCTAGCTTGGCCTCCTGAAATTAAACTCACTGTTGAGGACCAACTCAGGACTGCTGTTATGAATTTTGCCCTTAACTTCTCAGTTAAGACTGACCACCATTGCTCCCACAACTCCCAGTGTTTCTGGTCATTACTTACATTTAACCTTGTACTATAATAATGTAGGCACACTCTGTTTCTTTCCCTAGAACAGGAGTCCTCAAACTTTTTAAACAGGGGGCCAGTTCACTGTCCCTCAGACCTTTGGAGGGCCGGACTATAGTTTAAAAAAAAACTATGAACAAATTCCTATGCACACTGCACATAATCTTATTTTGAAGTAAAAAAACAAAACGGGAACAAATACAATATTTGTATTTGCATGTGGCCCGCGGGCCGTAGTTTGAGGACCCCTGCCCAAGAAGCTCCTTGAGAAAAGGTTTCTCAGTAACTTATATAAGGTAGATAAGTCAATATGCATCAAACACTTAAATGATGTTCTATACCACTTGTCTTTGCTAGTAATTATTTTTTTAAATTTACATCTGATGCCTGATCACTAACTTTCCTTAGAGGATAGTATACACTATAGAATGAAAGTCAAGAATTTGATATTACTACAGAATGTGTTGATACAGCATGTTTGATAACCCAAATGCTTAAAGGGGGCAAGCAAATCCTATATAATAAAAGCCCAGTGACTGAACGAGGGAACGACCAGAATGACTGGTCGACCAGTCGCTATGACGTGCACTGACCACCAGGGAACAGACACACAATGCAGGAGCTGCCCCCTGGTGGTCAGTGTGCTGCCACAGTGGGAGCGCCGCTGGGCTGACCAGGATGAATGGCTGCTCCTGCTGCTAACCCCGACCCAATGGGCAGGAACCCAGGCTGCGATCATCGCCTCCTTGCCCCATGTTCCTCCTCCTCATTCCCTGCCACCTCTGGACTCGCAGAGCTGACCCTGGAGGCTAGGAGGCGGGTTTGTGGCCACCGCGGGACTGAGGCCTACTCCACCGCCTATCGGTGCTATTGTCCCTGGGCCTGGCCCCGAACAGGTCCCCTGGAGAGGCGAGAGCTCCGGCTCCATGGAAGATGCCGGACCAGAGAGCAGCACTCAGAGGGCAGGTCCACAGCTGCTTGGCTGACCTGGATGAGCGGTGCTCTCACAGCCGGCTGATCCCCACAGGCCACGCCCCCCACCAGTGCACGAATCCCAGGCACCAGGCCGCTAGTATCAAATAAATTAAGTGGATAGTGTGTGTAAAAAAATAGGAAGTGATGGGGACCGTAATGAATTAGAAAATATATATACCTGTGATGGCGAACCTTTTGAGCTCGGCGTGTCAGCATTTTGAAAAACCCTAACTTAACTCTGGTGCCGTGTCACATATAGACATTTTTTGATATTTGCAACCATAGTAAAACAAAGATTTATATTTTTGATATTTATTTTATATATTTAAATGCCATTTAACACAGAAAAATCAACCAAAAAAATGAGTTTGCGTCACCTCTGACACGCGTGTCATAGGTTCGCCATCACTGATATATACTATTCTAAGGGGTTAGCAGCCAGGCCACTCAACTTGGGGCCCAGACTTGATAGTTCCTTTATTTTATTCCAAGAGGAATCAGAAATCTGGACCTTCATGTGAACCCTCTTGAATTTTAAATATTAGCAGCCACTTAAAATTTTTATAAATACATTGCAAGCCAAACCAAATACATGTGCCAAGGCTGGATTTGGCCTCTAGTCTACCACCAATTTTCAACCTCTGGGTAATGGCTGATTCTTATGGTGATTTTTCCAACCAAAACATGAATCCATGGCTGTGGCTATTCTGACAAGATTAAGTATCTCCTGACATGCAGGGTTTTCCACTAAAAAGTTAAATATTTTGTTACCAGATGAGAAGTAAACTTGATATTTTTGTTTATCAACTTTTAAAAAGTTGTGGGTCTAAAATATTTTAGAATCTTTTCTACTGGATCATATTAAAGAACAACTTGCTGAACCAATTTCTGGAACTCAATTTTTAACCTATAAAGTGGAGACGCCATAGAAAACTTTCACATTAAGTTACTTCTATTAATCATGAGAAGCCAATCCAATTCTGTTTTGGAAAGAACATTCAAGACTGTAACGGGAGGTCCTAGAGGCATTTATGGGTTCAATTTAACTTGAGTTACAGATTAGAATTATTCCATATATCTCCCCAGTCTGGGAGACAATTAGGAAAATTTAAGACCAGATTAGTTTCATAATTTCACTATATGGAGAACCTGCATATTCTGAATGTACCCTAAGATGGGGCTTAAGATAGTCTTAGACATCTCCTAGTCTTCAAAGGGTAGTCTAGACCAGAGGCGATTTTGGAATAAGGTTGGAGAGAAACTTTTTCAATCTATAGTTCACAGTTCCTACTACTACTTTCTATATCACTAAAAGGAACTGAACAATTTTCTTACCCTAGTTCATTAAACACATAAATGTAGTTAGAGCTCCAACACAAGGAGAAGCAAGTTTATTTATTCTTAGTTCTACAGCACCACCTAGTAATAAGTAGTTTAAAAATTATTTATAACACACATGCTCTCTTCAATTTAGGATAGCAAAGAAATCTTAGATTATTACTTGATGTTCATAATGGGAAAACAGACACCTTCCCCCCACCCCCTCAAACTTTTAGAAGATTTGGGCCTAAAAACAATCTGGGTATTTAAAACATGTGGAAAAG